TTTGGTTGCCTGGACTGCCTGCCTAAATGTGTGCTGAAGATAGTATTTTTTGAAGGTTGCTATCACTCCCTGGTCCTTCGGCTGCAGGAGGGAGGTGGTGTTGGGAGGCAGATACACAACCTTCACGTTTGGATGGAAATTGTCCAAGTAAGGAGGATGACCTGGGGCATTATCCAATATTAGCAGAATCTTGAACTTGATGTTTTTCATGTGGCAGAACCTCTCCACTTCCGGGATGAAATGGTGGAAAAACCTGTCCTCAAAGATGACAAGGGTGACCCAAGCTTTCTTGTTAGCCTTCCACACAACAGGAAGTGAGCTTTTTGAGATGTTCTTGAGAGCTTGTGGGTTCTCAGAGTGGTAGACTAGCAGCAGTTTTAGGCTCAGGTCACCAGAAGCATTGCCACCTAGCAGCACAGTTAGCCTATGTGGAAAAACCTGTCCTCAAAGATGACAAGGGTGACCCAAGCTTTCTTGTTAGCCTTCCACACAACAGGAAGTGAGCTTTTTGAGATGTTCTTGAGAGCTTGTGGGTTCTCAGAGTGGTAGACTAGCAGCAGTTTTAGGCTCAGGTCACCAGAAGCATTGCCACCTAGCAGCACAGTTAGCCTATCCTTTGCAGCTTTGAAACCTGGCATGGTCTTCTCCTCCTTGCTGATGTACGTCCTGTCCAGCATTTTCTTCCAATAAAGCCTCATTTCATTCACACTGAATATTTGCTGGGGCAAATAACCATCTTCCTCGATGATCTCCTTGAGGGTTTCTGGGAACTCCGTAGCTGCAGCCTTGTCTGTGCTTGCTGCCTCACTACTAACTTTCATGTTATGAAGATTCGTATGAGCCTTAAAGCCGTGGAACCACCCATGGCTTGTAGCAAATGCTTCTTGAGCAGCACCTTCCCTGGCCTTCTGTTGTAAGTCATGGAGTAAGCTTTTAGCCTTCTCCTGGATCATAATTAGACTAAGCGGCACACGTTTCTGATGCTGGTCTTCGATCCACATGCCGAGCAGGGCCTCCATCGCTTCCATTACTTTTCCTCTCCTCTTGCATATTATTGTGGATTGCATAGACACTGAACTTTTCACATGTTCCGTGATCTTGTCTTTGTTCTTAATGATTGTTCCAATAGTGGAATGATTCATGCCATAGGAATGTGCCACATTTGCCATCTTCTCCCCCGCTCTATTTTTTTCAATATCTCCATGAGCATCGTAATGGATTGCTGCTGCTTCATGCTATCTCCCTCCCCTTCAGGACTCTTGTGCTTAATTGCAGACATTTGCAGTTAAGCAATTTGCAGTCGCCACACCAAATACAACCAACCATGCAAGATGTTAGGACAGGAAGTCAGCACTGGAAGTCAGGAGATGGCAGGAAAGGGCTAGTTTTTGGCACACTTTCTCCCGACTTCTGGCCCAACTTTTGGTTCCAACTTCTGGGTCCATCCTGTTTGTATCGGTTGAAGTTCGCAACTTGAAAGTTTGTATATAGGGGACCTTCTGTATATACACACATACATATACGCACGCATATACATGCAGTACAGACACACAGACACACTCTACAGTTCAGTGACAATAAATGCTTTTCTTTTCCCTTCAACAATTCTGTGAGTTAGGTTAAAAATTATGACTGAACTAATGAGAAGGAATAGTCTGCAAAGGTGAATGGGGATTTGACTTCACAGATTTTCTTGGTCTCAGTATACCATTCTAGCTCAACCTTCCTCAACCTGTGAAATCCCCCAATTCCTTCAGATGTGGTTTCTCCTAAATATGGTTAGGCTATGGCTTCCAGTAACTGCCATTATATTGGTCTTCTCAAATAGAAATAGTTTTTTTCACATTCAATCTCCAGTCTTACTAGCCCAAATCTAACACTGAACTGTACAACATTTGAAAAAAAAATATGGCAATTTACCTACCAAACTGGTTAAACTTTCATTATCAACAATCCAATCTTCTTTCTCAGCTAATTTTTTCACATCTGCAAAATAGCAATGATTTCAAAAACTGTTATCTTCAGCATAGCATATGCCTATAATATCAACTGCAATGAATTGCCATTTATGAATGTTGTCAATGGTATATTAAAAAATAACTGCAACAGCTTTTATGTGTTAAGCTTACTGGCAAGCAAAGCAAGAAACTTTTTGGAAGTATTGGAAAGATTGTACATTAAAAAATTGTTATAGGTATAATACCTTAGGTATGTTTGCCACCTTGAGTTACATATAAAAAAGGCAGGACAAAAAATCAAATAATAATAATAATGTATGTTGTTCATTGTACCTAGAATACTGACAATGCTCTTAAGATGTAAAGCAATTATTGAAATGAAATTTAGTTTTAATTTCCATATTCTATATACTCTTTAATTAAAAGCTATAGAACAAAAATAACAATAAGATAAATTCGGAGGTACAGGTAGTCCTCACTTACTGACTGCTCGTTCAGTGATTGTTTGAAGTTACCACAGCACCGAATGAGATTTATGACCGGTCCTTGAACTTGCAGCTATTGCAGCATCCCCATATCACATGATTGTGATTCAGGTGCTTGGCAACTAGTGCACATTTATGAAGGTCCTGTGGTCACATGACTGTCATTTGTGACCTTCACAGCCGGCTTCCAACAAGCAAAGTCAATAGGGAAGTCGGCAGGAAGTCGTGGTCATGTGACATCATGCTTAACAATCATGGTAATTCACTTAACAACTACAGCTGGAACTAATGTTTTAAGTTGGACACAGTCACATGATGTTTCACTTTATGACCATGTTGCTTAGCGACAGAATTGCCAGTCCCAATTGTGGTCAATTAAATGAGGACTACCTGTTATATGAAAATAAAATCACAGATGAGAATTAAAAAAAATCAGTAGGAGATCATCACTGACATTTATTTATTTATTCAACTTATATAGCTGCCCATCTCAGACCAGTGGCTTTGGGTGGCTAACAATAATAAATAATATATAACAATTAATATATAACAAATAAGAAATTTTCAAAAACCTATATTACAACCTTCAGCTGTATGTTGTAACGTAATCATTATACAACGGACTCTCAGGTCAAAAATAAGATCCTGGATGATCTGAAGCATATCATTTGGTATTTCAAGTGCAGTAAGAGATTCATAACTAAGCCTGGAAACCCAAAGAAAAGAAAGTGAAGACATAATTAGCCTATTGTTTATTATGGGGTTCAGATGTCAAAGTATCCTCAAAGGGGGGTGGGTAAGAAAAAGCATCTTAGTACTTCCTCCAGTGGGGCCATTGCTTCCACCAACTGCAGAGCCATATGCCTGGGAAAAGTCCTAATGATATTTAATACTGATAACTCAAAAAATAGGATACAAATAAAAGTAAAAGCACAGTAGCAGCATTAAGTGAACTCTAGACCTGAAAATAGCCACTTTCTTTATCATACAACTCTCTCCATGTTCTATGATAAACAGTATGGTATCATTATTATGTCACTGGGTTAAGACAGTGCCAGTAATTTCACCCTTAAACTCTGGAGGTATTCATACCTTTTCCTCCTATGAGTGCATATTATGGTTTCGAGTAATCTAGTAGCAAAAACACTAATGTTTTGAGTGCACAAACGTTTACTTTCTGCCACAGTTGCATGACAACATTGCAAGCCAACTTCTGCTAAGAGCAGGATGGACTGTACTTTTTAGTAGTTCCCTAGATTCCATAATTATTATCACTATTTTTTGGTTAGCTATCTTCACCATTTAGTCTTGAGCAGATGTTGACAAGTTGCAATTCTTAAACTCTGTTTGTTAGTACTTCCTTGTCTCAAGCATGTGGAATAGTGAGAACTTTGGGAGGAAATGTTGGAATACTTGACAGTACAGGAATTTAAAGTTGATGATAGTCAAATGTGTAGCCTGGACTCAACAAAGCATATTTTAGCAAAAATAGATCAATACTAAGTAAGATTACATGCCAGCAAAAGCTAATGGAAAAGGAATTTTAGATGGGTGGGACTTCCTAAAAAAAAGAAAAGAAATATTGAAAGCATAGTCATAAATAATTCCAATGAGAAATTTAAAGAAAGCAGAAGCAGTCAACAGAATGCACTAAAATTTTAATGAAAATATGAAAAAAGCATTTAATGAGGGAGGAAAAGGAGTACATACAGACAGCCCATAACTTTGGAGACACAAAGCTACACTTCAGAAAAGCTTAAGTTAGTGAAGAATGGTAGGAACCTTGTGTTCAAATAAAAGAAGGAAGAAAAAGAAATAGCATAACAGCTACAAAGCAAATATGGAAATCATGTAATAGATAACATTGAAAAGGTAAAACTACTCATCCCCAATTTTGGCTTATTTCCTGACAATAAGCACTGTGAAGAGCTAAATGAAGGACTGGGGTTCCAGCCTGAGCTTGACAGGAGCACAGCTGGGGAATACCACTTGACTTGGAATGAGTTTTATCTTTAGGGACATATAAATTGAATCCTACAGTACTTAAGAAACATGTGGATGATCTGACTTATCTTCTATACATCATTTTCAGAAATCCCACAGAATATGGAAAGTACTGGATGATTGGTACCAAAGGCATCTGCAGAATTTGGCAGTTTTGTTAGAATGATAAAATGAGCATTATGACATAATGACACAAACGCCACAAACACATGTACAAAGGGGGCAGAATTTGTGTCACATCATTACAATACTCATTTTGTCATGTGTCTTCCTTGCTCCCCCCCATCCTCACATGGATACCTATGACCAGCATTTACCTTCAAAACAGAGGTAAAAAGGAGAACCCAGGAAACCAAAATAAGACATGATATGAAAGCAGGGGAAGATTCTAGGACATACCATAAAGTGATTAAACTATAAGCCCATGAAAACAATGCAGTCAGCTGTGATTTGTCTCAGTTTGTCTTTTATTTCAATTTCTTAAAATAGATTGTGGGAATGATGTGGTAAAACATATCCTGATTAACAAATTAGTTAACTATGAACCCACAGATGGCTTGAAAACTATACTCAAGGGATTTCATCAACAGTTCTTCATCAAACTACTGTGAAGTAACAATCCTGAGCCCAGTACTCTTCAAATGTTTCATTAATGACTTAGATGAAATGATGGAGGTAATGCTTATCAAATTGGCAAAACTGTTGGCATAGCTAATATCCTGAACAGGTAATTCCAAGGGTGGTGACTCTTCAGAGTGATAATGAGCAAATTTGAAGGCAGTTATTTTGGGAATGAATGCACATACAAAGCAGGGTCATTCTTAGAAATGACTTGCACTCTACTTGGAGAAGTCAACTGTCAGCTTATCCAAGCAAAGCATAGAACATCTTCTGTAGCCGTAGTGCAACTCTTATGACAAGATCACTATTAGAACTTGCTCCTGCTCAGCCTGGACAATATAGTTCCATATATTGTGTAATGGTCAGATCCAGCTTGGAGTACTGTGTTCAGTTCTCAACACCACATTCACAAAAGATTCAGAGAAATCGGAACAGGTGCATATTATCAGTGGATTGGAAACTAAATCTCATAAGAGCAGACTGATGGAATCAAATACATTTAACCTTGAATGGAGAAGACTGAGGAGGGGATACAATAGCATCCCCAAATATCTGAAGAGATATCACACAGAAGATAAAGACCTAAGTCTCTATTATCTCAGAATGCAGAAAATGAAGTAACTGTTTAAAGTTAAAAGAAAAAATATTTTGATTAGTAAGAGCAGTTTGATAGTGAAATGAATTACCAAGAGAGATGGCAAGATCACCTTCAATGGATGCATTCAAGCAGAGGCTTGTCAGAAGATTTAACTTTGATTCCTGCACTGAGTAGGAGACTGGACACAATAGCTTAGATGTCCCTTTCCAATTCTAAGACTCTGTAACTTATTTCTGTTAGTACTTTTCTCAATCAGAACTGCAGTTTCATAAACTCCCAAATTATTTGGGTTCATATATTCAAGACTGGTTCATAATAGATGGGACTTGCCAAAAGAAACCAAAACGGATACTGATTTAACATAAAACTAACCTAACAGTTTGAATGACATGGGGTAGCCATTGACTAGAAAGTTCAGGTTTCATGTCCCAGCCACCATATTCTTTTAGTTCATTTTCTTCAAGGCTAAATGGAAGCAAAGCGCCACGTATCAGTTTGACCTGCGATTGCATCACTTGCTGAATCATCATCTAAGACAGAAAAAGGAAAGACATCATGTTAAGCAATGATAGTTGTACATAAACCACTGTGTACTAAAACAAAGGAACATTCTCTTTGATAAAACAGTTCATTAAGCCACATTTTAAAGTACTCAGATTTTATTAAAGTAGATACAAACACCAACCAAGTTACCAAAGTAATTAATTAGGCTAAAACTATAAATGGAAATGAGCAATATGATGCAGTGCAAAGAACTGGCTGCTCAGTTATAGAACAATGTACAAGTTAGTACACTGTACTGTACAACTAGTTGTACATAACAGTTTGTCAAAGCAATCACTTTATCAGTTCATTCATTAGTTTCAATATTTCTTATTCTGATTTTGAGAATAAGGGCATATAACACTGGTTTGGTTCAAGGCCTATCCACCTCTTTATTTTATTTAATATATTCCTATGTAAAAAAAAACCTTAAAATACCATATGTAGCACCATTATTAAAACAATGGAAAGTTACATACCCCTTTCTGCACCCCATTTTATATATTTAAAAAATTATACATAAAAGTAAAAAATGGGAAGATGAAAAGTTAAGAAAAAAGCATATGCAACATAGCATATGTAACATGTATACAAGGAAGAAACAGGCACCTAAAACAAATAATATCAGGAGGACAGCATTCCAGAGAGTGGGGACTACCACTGAAAAGGTATACTATGCAAGCTGCGATCAGATTATTTATTTATTCTATGAAGATATAAAGAGTTTTACTCAGGACTTCTGAATTGTTTTAATCATACTATTAAGTAAAAGTGTAAAAATATAAAAAAGAGGGTAGGGAAACTGATCATCTTGCCTTCCCCTCTACCTTTTAAAAACTTTTTCTCAACATGCACTAAAACAGCAGTTTGCTTCAACTGCATTTTAAGCACTCTAGCCTAATTTTCATTTCCTTTGCAGGTGCATATATAGTTACCTTCCAGATTTAATACTTTTGCAACTCTGCGCATACTTTAATTTCTGGAAAATGTAGAAATCCAATGGAACCTAAAGCTAAGAATACGCCAAACAGAAATGAACCAGATTTAGGTGGTTCTGTACATTCCTAATGGATTATTATACATATTGCCACTGAGAAAAAAATGTGTATCATCTCATAGTTGAAGCTAATTCCTGCTCCTAGGTAGTCGCATCAGCTGTATGGATAATAAACTAAAGGTAAAAAACAGATGCCAGTCCAGCATTCAAATAATCCATGAAGCATTAAAAGCACTATCAGGGCTGAGGTGAAGGTAGCAGCAATCTGAGTAACTGAATGTGTGGAAGGTAAATTCCTTATTAGTCAATCTGATTAAACGTCCTGTTACCACAGAAGAGTCACTGTTCTTGGCTGGGAGATCAGCCTTGCTAAATTTTCATTCTAATCAAACAACCATCACCAGCCAGGAAGTGAAGCAGATACTGGATTTATATCAGCAAAAGTAACAAAAAATATTAATACAAGAACAAAGTACAAATTAGGTCTAGGGAACAAGACAAGGGTTCTAACAGCTGGTCACAGGAGCGCACGAGGTGAAGATACATCCAGCGCTGGCTTACGTCCCATTAGCCAAAGTGGTATTGCAGGCTTCGAACCTATGCCATAAAGCAGCTGGATTACACTGGCTCAATTCAGACTCCCTGTATATCTGGGAACAACAGGGTTTCTTGAGTAGACTGTCACAGCAAACAGCCTTTCCCTACAGTCTCAATGTTTCTGTGCCTTTCAGCCTTCTAATTCTTTACCTGCTGTCATCACTCAGTGAATATAGAGGGTGTTTGGGGAAGCCCTGAATGGAATCTGGACTGCAGGTATCCAAGGGTACAGCAAGGGGCACATTTTCTTCACTTGTCCTGGTGGATCCTGGATCCTAGCCTCGTCAATTCTCTCCAGGCTTTTCCTCATCTTCTGAAGATAAGACCTACGTGGCCATTGCATTCAAATCCACAGTTAAAATATCAATAAACAAATCTTCAAGTTGAAATCACTTCCTGTTTAAGAAGATTTGAAACCACTTCTGATTTCCAAAACCATCTAAGTGGATGCCTGCTCATTTACCTTGAAATCATTTTGCCTCTGCCTGGCATTCTTCTTTGATCTTTCCATTTGGCCTGATTTTTCAGCAGTCTTATGAAAGCAAAAAAGAGACACCAATCTTACCACATTAGTATTTTTCAAGAAAACATGAATTATTTTATGTATTCAATTTTAGTATACAGAAGAGTAATTGCCGTAAGAATACTGCAGCAAGTGGAAAAGTTTAAGGCTGGGTTAATACTCTAGCATGTTTTAATAAATTAGCAGAGAACATTAGCAGAAATAAAAATATTTTAACAGATTTTTTTGGTGGACCTTTTTAGTACCAAAACAGTTCTCCTACTACATACTACTAAAAATGGGTTTACTGTACCAAATTCAAGTATACTCATTAAATTCAAAGTATGTTAAAAATATTGACTTAGTGTACAACCATCCTTTCATCCTTCCAAAGGACTAAATATAATCTGCCTACTAAGAATGAACCAAAGCATATCCTCTTCTATTTAAAAATGTTTAGCTAAGCAAAGGAAACCCTGTCTATACATGTTGAATATATAAACACTATCTATTTTGGTTAATTCCTGATTGTGATATATAACCTAGATCTCAGGGTCATTAATTAGGGGAATCAGGGGAGAATGGGACTGGTTAATTGAAGTTCTTATCTTTGAAAATGGGGCTAGATTGGATGATCCCTGCTCCCGTTTAGATCTACAAAATCTATGAACACTAGAAATATATTCGCCAAAAGACTTCCCTACTTTAATTTTGTTGAATAGGTTAACCCCTTCCTGTAGAAATTTCTGGGGTAAGTCCAACCGTTATAATTTGCACGTTCACCACATGCATAAACAAGTCTCACTTCAGTTACAAACTTTCTAAGCCTGGTAAAACCATGGTAATCCTTAACTGATTTTTTAAAGTATGCAGGTCATCCTTATGAGTAGTGAGAATAAGTCATGCAGCTTCTTTATTACTAGTTTTTTCCATGATTGCTCATCACATTCATGACTGAATTATGTCCCATGTGGGTTTTTAAAACGACTTTTATGACAGCCATTATATCTGTGTTCAACTGGGTTTTTAGTTTTAAAATATCACAAAAATGAGAAACAGCTGGCCAAAATGGAATGCAACATAATATATTTTTGCACCACTTCCAAGCACGGATACCATTTTAAAGCAGGCTTAGCAGCTCGAATACTGAATTTAAGCCTGGATTTCAAAGAATTGGAGATAAAAAGCAGATCTTCCAATTTCCTTAGAACGAGACTAGCCTCAAGTGTCCACCAATGAGGCATGCAACTCCTCTTTAGCCTCTTCATCTGCCAGGCAGATGCACAGAGGAAAGAGCAGTCAGTTGGTATTTGCTGCTGTGCAGCTATTATTCAACTCTCCTGACTTGACAGAAATGGCTGGGAGAAGAAGTTGCCATTCTTCTTGCAGATTGATGGTAAGGGGTGACCCTGTTCTTCCAATGTCATACAGGGCAAGAGGGCAAGCAATAATGGTGGCAGCTGCTGCCATGTCTTAACAGCTTAAGAATGATGAACTTTGGAAGTGCTTAATATAGTCATCTCTGGTGCAGAAGGAACAGCAGAAGCAATCTAAAAAGGAACAATAATAATATATTTATATTCTACCTTCCTTCTCCTAGTCTCAATTTGCCTGCAATTCCCAATTCAATTACAGGTGGAGAGATGCTGACTGGGCCATAGTCACCTAGTGAACGTCACTGAAGTTTGAATCTGGGACTCCCCATTCTTACTCTAAACTCCAACTACTGCATCAAGCAGGTTCTCAAGGAGTGCAAAGAATGATTTCCCCCCCAAATCCTCTGACCAGTTGGCTCTTCCTTAGTTCTTCAGAAAATGAATCACCTGGTTTTTTAGCAAAAAATGATAAGAGACTATATCACATTTGATATTCAAGTAAAGGAAATCTGAATAAACTAAATCTTATTTTATTTTCCCCATAAAATGCACATAGTCAAAGTATCATAAAGCCCCAATACAAATGACCTTACCTCACTAAATAAGCTCCCATTCACATAAGAAATCCAAAGTTTCCAGAAGTTGGGAAGCTGGCTTACTACAAGCTTAGTTAACTTTTCAACAAATGCTACTTGCTGAGGAGTTTTAAATCGCCAATCTGGAAAAGGAAGGCAAGATACGAATTCATTACTGGAAAATTATTAGAGAGGAATCATATTTAGTATTTGACATCAAAAGAGTGATAATTCATAAATGTGCTAAACAAATAAATATGCTAAATAGTACTAAATAAGACATGGCACCACACTATTTTACTTAGCAAATTAAACTTTAAGTATCACAGAAGTGCTCATATCAAGAGTTTAGCTGAGTGACATGTGTGATTCAACATAAATGAATCCAATCAGCTTCTCTTGAAAGATCTGATGTCAGTATACAGTATTTAAATATAGCTATCCATCTTAAGCCAAGTTAAGGCTACATAATGAAATAATGAGAAGTGGGGTCTAACCTGGGACCTCCTAATTCGTATTTTCAATGTTTTACCCAATGCATTACACCAGCAAGGCAAAGAAGCTTCCATGATTTCTGGAATGGAAAGGAAAGGGAATCCAACACACAAAACTTACTTTCATCATGACTGGACTGATTGCTACTGCCTCTTTTCAATGAGGCACTCCGACTGAGATGGCCAAGTGAAGACGGGCGAACTTCACCGTCCAGATCAAGCAGTGGACTATGTATTAATGGACTGACTGAAATGGGAGAGAATATTAGTTATTGGCATTAGTTATCTATTGATTCTACACAGTATTAACCTTTACAGTTTTGTCCATATCTACTAAATGAAAAAAAATAACAACCCACAGATGAATATATAGTTCTTGCAGCTGATTGCAATAAACAGGATTGGTTTTGTTTATTCATACATACTGTACATACAATTCCTAACATAACCCAAATCAGAAACTCTAATGTATCTTAATATGCTGGTATTTGAATGTATTTCTTATAGCCAGCAGGAACTGGGGAAATAAAGAAAAAAAAAGTCTGTTACGAAAATGTACAAGGAATAAGCTATTAAGTATCTATGCCTCTGAAACTCTTGAAATTACTTCAATTTTTCAATTTCTAATTGTCAGAAGGGCTGCACATAATGTGAGAGCCTTATCCTTCACACATTTTAGAATTAAGGTGATCTACTAAGTGAAAAAAAGCCCACAAATGAAGATAAAAGTAGTACTTGCAACTGACTGCAACAAACAGGATTGATTTTATTTATTCATACATACGTATACCAAATAATGAACTCCAATACTAATAAGCTGGTATTTGAATGCATTTCTTATAGCCAGCAGGAATTGGGGAAGGAAAAAAACCAAAACCAAAATGTACAAGATATAATTTTATATTATTTCCATATAACACATATACTTAATTATGTATGAGAGTTCCATAGTTTATCAGTGTAATTTCACATGGTGATATAAAGTAAATGAAACAAACGTTGAAACCTTTAATCTTTTCTGTTTTCTATGTTAGAAGGGCAAGTACTAGAGAAGGATAGTTGCCTTCATAGTCTTGCTTGCACATTTCTAATACGCATTTGCCTGATTTGCTGGAAACAGGAAGTTGAATTAGGTGATCCAATCTAATACAAATGCTCTTGCACATGGTACTCTAAAAAGCCTACATAATGTAAACAGGTGAAATGGATATCAAAGAATTCATTGAAATATCAATCAACGTAGCTTTAACCAGGTACAACTGGATGAGCAACTTTTCTGTTTGGAAGCCACGATAAGAGCTTCTGAGTTTCCTAAGGACCACAGGAGAGCATGGTTGGTAATACTATTACATCATTACAGAAGGTAGGATCAAAACAATTTTACTCTTTTTTTGGTTTTACTTTTTTAGGGTTTGAGGGAATGTTGTGGACATGCAAGTAGAGGATATTTTGCCCTTTACACCCTCAAAATTAGAAAAATCAATCCAATTTTGGAGGACTGGGTTTTTTAGGGAGTGCTGTAATAAATTGCTGAGGCCCAAACAGTAGACAGACAGCTGGAAGTCTCAAATCTTCTCTTCCAAAAGCCTGCTTGGTCTTCACATCCTGCTTCTACCTACTGCTTTGAGGCAGCATTTGGTAGTTTCTGAGGCTACCACCTATCTTCCAGGGAGCACCTTACTTAGCGTCTATACCCTACTCTAAAGTGTGTGAGAAATAAGGCATTCACACTCTATACAGCTCTTCTGACAATTAGAAAGCCAAATTGAAAAATTTAAGTAATTTCAACAGTGCCAGAGAAATAGTCACTAGAGTGCTTCCCTCTCCCACTTTGGTAGATAAACCAGTATCATATGAGACAAAAAAATCAAACTTTATTAAAAGAAAATATGAAAGATAAAAAAATGTTTTTTAACTTTAAATATCAAAATACAAGCATTCAATGTGGAGAATCAGAGAGATGACCTTGAGGGAAATAAGCAAACTGTTATATAAGCAGAGAGGGTTGAAACATTCCTTAAGTCCTGGGAAGCAAGATAGTGTTCAGAAGACTCAGGCAGGCTCCTGAGATTCTGTTATTATAGCTTATGTCAATAAATATAGTTCAATTCTTCAGTCTGTTTCCCAATCTGGTCTACCCTGAAGGACTGACATCAATCTTTCAAGCCTCACTGTGATTTACCTCCCCTCCTTCTTATATCCCAATGAATCGTGGAGGGAAGTGCCTGACTTAAAACACTAATTCTGTACATAGATCTACTCAAGGTCAAAGTCAAAACGCTAGCTAGGAAATTAGTTAAAAACAAAAAACACACACACATAAAAATCCACAAGGTGGCACCAGTGTGCTATAAATGACATTCTCTGCCAAATCTCTGAAATGATACTGGAGAGGTTATTATTAATAAATTATTATTACAGACAAGATGTTTCTAAAAAAAAATTCTATCTTCATAAATACAGATTTTATTGAGGATGGACATTAAACACCCAGTCCCATAACTTGTACTAATAAAGGACATTAGATTGAACTCAACACACTAAAGAAACATCAAAAACTGAACACAAATTCCTGACTACATGTATTTACCTATTTTCACAGAAACAGAAGCTTCCTGAAGCCAATGTTCCTTTGCTTCAATTACCTGCACTTTCCAGTTTCTTGGATATTCCAATATGTTAATCAGAGGCTCCTGGGATGATAGAAGATCATGTCCTTTACCAAAACTCTCCCCATGGACATCTGCTGAGCTCTATCCGTTGTACAAATACCAACTCTTTTCAAACTTTAGCAGAGGAGGGGCTAGAGTAATCTGACTCTGTTACATGACCAAGAACCATCTCTCTCTCATAGCAATGTGTACTGTGCATCTCAGTCTGCAGTCTGGTGTGCAGGTTATATTAACATAAGGTGTAATAGGTGCCCAAGCCTCTCCAAAGCTTAAGGCACCCATTTTGTCTTTTAAACACAATTCCCCCAAAATGTGTCCAACAATTTCAGCCCCACCAACTCTGGGAGGGAATTGTGTATGTCCCTAGAATAATATCATGACGATTAGGTACTCAAAGTAGAATCAGATCCTATGCTAAATTTGGCACAAAACAAAAAATGAAGATAGTGCAGGTTGTAAAAAAAGGTTTTTCAAAACCAGTAACATAGTCACTCAAAGTCATCCAGACCCACATCTTATTCAATGAAGATATGAAAGTGAAGCAGCTGAAATTTAATTCATGTTGGTCAATATTAAACCAGACTCTGGGACTGGAGCTTAGCTGATTCTCAATAAGTCTGTACTCATTTGAAAGAACAGCTCTGCAACCTAAGAGTGCTCTTTAAGAATCAAAAGCATCTGTTTGAATATGTAAACTTTGGCTATACAGGTAGTTCTTGAGTTACGACCATTCGTTCAGCAACCTTTTGAAGTTACAACAGTGCTGAAAAAATGGATTTACAACAGGTCCCCGAAGTTACAGCCGTTGCAGTGCCCCCACACTCCCGCTGGGGAACCCATTTGCACTTAGGACTGGTTGCTGAGCACCCCACGATCATTTGCAACCTTCCCTGCCAGCTTCCCACAAGCAAAGTCAATGGGGAAGCCAGTAAGGGAGGTCACAAATCGCTCAGGTAAATCTCCCACACCGACCTTGGCCTTTCTTTGCTTGCACACACACATTGCACCCTCTTTCCTCCTCTGCTTGCTTGCATGCACTGTTTCCCCTTTGTGCTGCACTGCCGCTCTGGGGCTTTGCAGAGGAAGGTTTTGCAGGAGGAAGGAGAAAGCCCCACAAACAGCCAGCAGCTTCCAACGCGAGTTGCAGAGCGTGTGCTGGAAGCACCCCTTGAGAGTCCTTCAGCACCCGGCATGCCCCTGGAGTGCTCCTTCAGCACCCGGAAGTGCCCCTGGAGAGTCCTTCAGTCCCTGGAAGTACCCCTGGAGAGTCCTTCAGCACCCGGAAGCAGCCCTGGAGTGCTCCTTCAGCACTGGAGAGTCCTCGAAGGAGGGAAGGAGGGCATGGTGTATACATGCAAGCGAAGGGGGAAGGAGGGTGCTGGTGTGTGTGAGCGAGTGAAGGAGGGAGCAGTGTGCATGGCTGAGCGAAGGGAGAAGGAGGGCCAAGAAATCCCTGAGTTGCAGCCTGACAAGCAGCCCCAGAGCCACACAGTTCTGGGGCTGCTTGCCGCCCCGCAAGGCAGGATCCAGGGTGGCCAAAAGGGCAGAGATGGGGGGGAGATAGGAGGGTGGGGGGAATTGGAGGCAGTCCCTTACCTTACTGAGGCTTAAGGCTGGGAGGGACCAAGCCCGGAATGGTTTGGATTGGGATGGGTCCTGGGCTAATGACCGGTGGAATTCACTGAACGGCAGCAATGGGGAGTTCCAGGATTGCCATCACTAAGCAATGTGGACACATAACATCTCACTTTATGACCGCATTGCTTAGCGATGGAAATTCTGGTCCCAATTGTGGTTGTAAGTTGAGGAATACCTGTAAGTACAGAAGTATCAATGGTACAGCAGGGATTAATATTTGTAAGAAAGTGAGAATGAAGAATAGGAAATTTAAAATCTACTTACAAAGCTCATCACATTAAAGCATCTCCTGCTTTAATACACCGAAACCTAGCTAATTTTGCTGTTGGGATTGTAACACAGTTTGGAAATTCCAATCCCTTACCGCAGGGGTCCCCAACTCCTGGGCTGCGGACTGGCATCAGTCCGTGGCCTGTTAGGAACCAGGCCGCACAGCAGGAGGTGAGCAGCGGGCGAGTGAGTGAAGCTTCATCTGTATTTACAGCCGCTCCCCATCGCTCGCATTACTGCCTGAGCTCTGCCTCCTGCCAGATCAGCGGCGGCATTAGATTCTCATAGGAGCGTGAGCCCTACTGTGAACTGCACATATGAGGGATCTAGGTTGCACACTCATGAGAATCTAATGCCTGATGATCTGAGGTGGTGATGCTAGCGCTGGGGAGTGGCTGCAAATACAGATTATAATTAGCAGAGAGGTTTGACTGCACAGAGACCATAATAAATCAACTGCTTGCAGACTCATATCAAAATCCTATCATGTAATGCACTTGAATCATCCCGAAACCATCCCCCCCCCGGTCTGTCTTCCACGAAACCAGTCCCTGGTGCCAAAAAGGTTGGGGACCGCTGCTTTACAGCAGTATCTTCAGGTTTCATCCATTCCCTTATCTCCTCCAATTCACAACTGATCCTCCCTAATTTATATTGTAGTATTGTA